ACGCCGCCGTCGGAAACGGCCCGTGGGTTGTGTTTTACCAGTTGAACGTTGGGTCGGCGTCCACGTGCTGGGTGGGCTTCTGCATCGGCTTCCCTTGGCGCTTCCTCTGTGCGTGTGTAAATACCTGACTGAGTGAGGAACGGTGCGTCTAGGGGCTTGGCAGCTTTCTGAGCCTGACCCGCAGAATCGTTGGTACGTCCCGCTTCCCGGGTGGGTGGTGTGAAGCCGGGGTGAACTGGAGTCTGTTCCTGTTGGTCCCAGCGGAGACAGTGCATTTTTGAAAACATTGCCCAGTATGTAAGTGAACACTGACAAGAAGAGTTTCAGTTTAAACCCTGTTGAATGTAATGTGCCCGATTTCTAATTCCTTTCTTCAAAAGTTTAACTACTGAGTTAAACTCATGTGGCTACTAATTGCTAAAACCCACGCCACATCAGAAGTTCCTTTGCCTTACATCCTGTCCTGTGTGAAGAGGTAATGTAATTTGTACTGTGTCTCTTTTAGTTCTCAATGCCCTTCCATCTAAAATGTGATTTATTTTTTTTTTTAACTCTGAAATGGGATGCTGAAAATTGCATTCAGCATCGTAATCATTCATGGAGCGTTGTTTTATTTAGAAGCTAAGGCTAGCGTGCCAAGTGATGTATAATTAATGCACTCTGTAGTGGGGATGAATAACTATGCAGTATGCACTGTTCCAAACAACTGTTGGATCCTAGACATTTTTGAGTTTAGAAAAGGTGTGAAAGGTTGTCAGAGATGCAGATCTGTTTTTGAAGTAGAGAGGTGAATTGTCTGGTATTGTTAAGGGAACAACTGAATGCTTGCTCTGATAAGGTCATCAATGCAGAAAAAAAATGGATAAATGAAGTTTCATCTCTTGTTCTGTCAAGGAAACTCGCTAGAATAAGTTAACTTTTTTCCTCCTCCCTCTCACCAAAAACATACAAATGAAGGGTGGGACATGTCTGTCTGACTGGGGTGGGGGAACAGAGTGAAGTAAACTTTAGCATAAACAGGTGAAGTAAACTTTATAAAACTATAAAGTAACACTGAAATAGAGCTTTTCTTAAATTGAGAGCTCTTGTATGGCATTTCCAATGAACTAAAAGCATCTGGTAAAACAAGTTATGCAGAGCTGAGTGCTGGATGGTTCTTCGATACATGTCTGTGTCCTTGGTTTGCATGCAAATACACATTCTGCAGATACTAATGTGAAAAATCCTCTATTCTCCAGTTGAATTACTTGAGAGTGCAACAAGTATGTGAGGGCAAATTCGGTGTGGTATTATTCACCACTTGTCTTTTCCCCTTTCTTCCATCTGTTTCAGACTTCTCGCCCATCCAGTCAAAGAATAAAGCAACTTGATGTATTGAACTCATCTCACACCTGCAGTTAATTCAGATTAGACTTTCTGAGACACATGGGTTTCTAAAATCTGTGTGTGAATAAACAAGTATCTTCTCAGACACCAGGGCTGATTCAGGAATGATTTATGAGTCGCAAGGAGGGCTATGTGAGAAGTTACTTATTTTCAATCTTACTGGATTTACCAAGAATTTTGCAAAATGAAGATTTTTATTTGTGCCTTACCCAACTTGTCCAAGCTGTCAGCAATGAAAGAGCTGCAGAATCTCCGATGATCATGGATGCTTTTCTCACAACAGAGAAAAGATAATTACAGTTATGACAAAAGTTCCATTTAACTCAGATTACTTCTAAACAAACACTGTACATTTCAGAAAGGTCTCTCTGCAGGGAAACTATTTCACCTGGTTGGCAATGTGGGTTGGTAGGGCAAATATATCTTAGGAAATGTGAAGACAAACTGAGATTAAAAATGCAAATTTCTTATGTACTTCAGTAATAGTTTTGGTAAGGTTCACCAGCATTTATCTGAGCTTTGTTTGTTGTCTGTCTTACAGCAACATGTTATCCAAAATGCAAAAACGGTGGGGAATGCCTCAGACCTGGAAAATGCAGGTGTCCACCTGGCTATGGGGGTAGATACTGTCATAAAGGTGAGTAAAATCCAAACATCTGATAGCTTGGGAAGACAAGAAGTTTGAAAACAGACAAAATTAATTTGGGACTCCTCAAGTCCAGGATCTAATGCACTTTGAAATAACAACCTTAATTCCCTAAACCTCTGACCTTACTGCCAACAAACACTCGGCCTAGAGGATCTGCATGCTTGCAGCAGAATGGAGTGGAGTACATGTACTGAATGCGTTGTGAGAATCTGAGAGTTTTCTCCCTTGGAAAGTGCCTTCTTTATGTGTTATGTAAATATTCTGTTTAGCTCTATAGCAGACACTTTCTAAATAATTTATGAGATGACTTGTATAGGTACATATTTCTGCATTAGATGGTTGAAACTTTTGTGTACTACCTGCAAGATGGTAGTATTGATGGCAAGTCGTCAAAGATATGCGTGGCAATGTATTGTTGATAGGTCATGGGAGATGATGGAGATGAGGAGTAGCAAAGACCAGTTTTTATGGTTTTGTGAAGCCTGTTGAATATATGCATGGACTGGAAAAAGAAATCCAAGAAAATTTTGTTATGTTGTTATGAACTGATTAGACTACTGATGATAACTTGAGTTCTGGGATAAAAGGGGAAGCAAACTTGAAATAGTTTGAGGGGAAAATGATGTTGTAGGCAAGATATCCCCAGAGAGTGAAGAAAAAAAAAGCATTGTTTTCCTTTCAGAAGAAAAGCCTCAACCTGGCACTTAAAAAGTTTCTAGAAGTTCTTTTTGAACAGAGGCTGATAGATTAGTTGGGCAGTCATCACTGTGCTGAGAACTCAATAAGCATTCTTTCTGACTGCTCATAGCAGCTAGCACACCTCACAGGATTCTCTGTTTACGCTTGATGTTTATTCTGTGGGCATTTTCTTTTATTTCCTTCAAGTGTGAAATAGCTACAGGAGTTTACTTGGAGTGTAACCTAATTGGTACTTGGTGAAGAAATTTGGCTAGCTTCTGCAGCTCTCTGGAATCTTGTGTTCAGCTTTGAGGTGGAGTACTGTGGCAAATGGATATACAAACTTGCTCTGCAGAACAATGTGCTATTACAGAATCACACAATCAGAGTGGTTGAGGTTGAAAAGGACCTCTGGAGCTCATCTCATCCAATCCTCCTGCTCAAGCAGGAACACCTGGAGCCGGTTGCCAAGGTCCATGCCAGACAACTTTTGAATATCTCCAAGGATGGAGACTTCACAAGTTCCATGGGCAGCCTGTGCCAGTGCTTGGTCACCCTCACAGTGAAGCCATGCTGACTATTCCTAATGATTTTCTTGTCCTTAATGTGCCTGGAAATGGTTTCCAGGATCAGCTGTTCCATTACCTTACCAGGGCTTGACGTGAGATTGACTAGCCTGTAGTTCCCTAGGTCCTCCTTGCCCTTCTTGAAGACTGGAGTGACATTTGCTTTCCTCCAGTTTTCAGGCACTTCTCCCAGTCACCGTAGTTGATCAAATACAATCAATATTAATTACATTAACTTATGCTGCTCTAGCTGTGCTGGAGTTGACTCGTGTGTCCTTGCATGTTCAGCATTTATGCCAAAACTCTGTTAGCTGAAATCATGCTCCAAACTTGTGGTGGAACAGAGATGTGGACTTTTTTGTGCCAAGGATCAAGCAGACATCCTAACTGTCCATCCTTATAATGAAGGATAGTTGTTTTTCTTCAACAGAGTGAAGGTGTTGTATATACTTACTTTCATGCTTGTGAAAGGATGCATTTGATTGTACAGAACAGTATTTATGCCATATTTCAAAGATGGTGCACATCACAGTTGATACCAATCATATGTCTGGTGTAAATAATGCTTCATTAATGAGGCCTTCAGGGCTTTGACTTGTAGAACGATTCTGGAATGTGGAGGCTGACTTAGATAGTTGGTCTTTGAGAAGCCACTACTCGACTATAGTCATAGGTTCATTTGTCAAACTAATGTCCCCTTCTCTTCTTCCTCTTGTAATGTGTAGGTCTTTTCAGGTAAGGAAATACATGAATCCTTGACCATGTTACTGATTTACCAGCTGTGATTTGGCAAGATTGATAAGAATGTGCATGTTAGTAGTTACTGTGTTGTAGCTGATGAGCAGTGGGTTCACGGTTAGGGAGGGGAGGAGCTGTGCAATAGCAATAATTGTGCTTCGTTGTTGGTACTCTCAGGGTAAATGCTCAACAAGCTTTTAAGCACCTGCTTAATTTTAACTACATTTTGAGTTGGCATTTGCAGATGTAGTTCTGTCACCCTCACTCACTCCTTATGGAACTGTGCCTTGCACTTAAGAGCTGAAATTTTAGTCTTTGTAGATGTGATAATACAAGCAGTAGATGATAGACTAGCTGTTTAAAGATAGTTATTTGAAGTCCTATGCTGCTTCTGAAATGCACTATGTGTGCTGTCCTTCTGCAGTAAGCTGTGAAGGAGGCTGTCAAAACGGTGGGGAATGCATCTCTGTCAATGGAGTTGTGAAGTGCCTTTGTGCTTCTGGCTGGACAGGATCAAGATGTCAAGAAGGTGGGTGCCTACATTCACGTGCTTTATTTGTACCATAGGTGACTTAAATGCTAACAGTCCCTAAGGCCTGTAAACAAGTCCTGATGGCAGCCTGATGAGAGGGCACTGGAAATAGAAATAATTTGCTAGAAACATCATTGGAGTAGTCTCAGTTTTGTATCACTGCATTCTCAAGATCAGATTTCTTACTCATTTGGTTTGTACAAAAAGCAATATATAACCCCCAAACTAAAACCCTGTCTTTCTCCTGGGTGAAACGTTTGAAGGAACTCTTCTATCGGTTAAAATGCCTCTATTACTTCACTATTAAATAAGGGTAATCAGGTGACATAATCATGGCATGGGTCATTCACAGTACCTTGTGTATTTACACAATGAAAATATTTATATTGATTAGAATATAACTGTGGTAACAAAAACATTTTAAAAGGATTAAGAGGCTAATAACTATGGAAGTGTCATTGTCACTGTAGAAGTGAAGGACCTGCATTATTGCTACATGCTCAGATAAAATTATTTTGCATTAAAATTTACATCCGTTAACATTCGAAGCAAAATTCTTAACACAGTACATAACTTATCTTTTTTACATTTCTGTGGTCCTGGAAATGCCTTTAGTGTTGTACCAGTTGAGTATCTGGCCTGGAAGAAAATGTGTTTTGCCATTTTGATTTGTATCATCCTGAATCTTTCATTCTGTCAGAATTCTTTTATATCAGTTTTATAAATCCTGCTGACTTACCCATTCTTTTCTTCTAGCAATTTGTCCTCAAGGATGTCGGAATAATGGAGCTTGTGTAGCTCCTGGGATTTGTAGCTGTCCAGCTGGATGGGTTGGTGGAGCATGTCACTTAGGTAAAAGAGTTCTGTCATTTTTCGTTTATCCTTTTCTCTACTTGTTTAATTTACCAATATAGTGTTCAAATCTTCAGTGCCTAACAAAGCTGCCAGGAAAGTATCTTAGAATAGTAGATGAGAGCTGCTTCTGCATACTGGGGATCTTACAGGTATGCATAAAGAATAGATGGCTTTTCAGTTTGGTCAGAAAGACAGAACTTTCCCACCTTAAGTAAATTCAGATTGAGATTTTGGTTGTCACTGGATTCATTATTTGCTATGTCTTGTCGTTATTTCTGAAATATTTTCTATAAACCAGGACCTCAGTATAAAGAACTGAAAATGGCCATTACAGAAACACTGTTGCTACTGATGTGTGTCAGAAGCTTCATTAAATCTTATGGACATGGAAAATTGAAACTTGCTTCTCCCTTTGAGGACCTGTCAGCAGAATCAACTCCAGGTGCTCTTAAAAAAGAGAAAGCCAGCTGCAATCAGGATTAATACTAACTGACACTCTTGCTGAACAACCACTTGCATTTTCCCAAGTTTTGATTCGGGAAAGCAGATGGTGATTATAAAAATTTTAATCTACCCTTCTCTGGCAAGGCCTTGTACGCTCGTAACAGCACTGCCCTGATGCTAAAGGTGGTAATACTGAGACTGTCAAAAGGAAAGGTTTTTTGGTTTGCTGTCTGGGAAACTTGAGAGAAAGCTCATTTCAACATTGCCTTTTAACTCCATGTTGTGGGTTCAAGGTCTCTGGATTAAGCAAGTCCTCTGCATTTGAAATCTTTGTGTGGCTGTGGGAATCCAAATCAGCTAGTGTTAGTTCTTCTGCAATAAGTACAGTCAAGCAACCATTAACAAATAACACTTTGCATTCCCATTTGACCAGCAAAATGCTTATCCTTTATATTCATCAGTGTATTGAGATAGAGGGTGATATTAAAAGGTAAGTATGGGAGATGCAGAGAATTTACAAAATGCTTAGCTCCATTCCCTGCACCAACAATGACGGTAGAAGTGTTCAGGTTCTTAATGTCAAAATAATAACTTTTCCCAAAGTAACTAGGTCTGCATCCAGTCTGACTTCTGTTGGTACTGATGCTCATAAGCACATTCTGGCTTGTTACCTGCACCGCTGTGTAGCTAGGGGACAACTAAAGCTCTACCCACTCAGTCCACCTCTGCCTTTCTGTTGGGGGAGTAGGGGAGCAGAAGGGCAGTGTGTAAGCAACAGCTAATATGTGGCAACTGTTTCCTCATGGATGGATGTGCGTCCAAGAACCAGTTTGAATAAGTTTCAATAGGAATTTTTATTGTTCCCTCACTTTCATGGAGACATCCATCTCAAAAATAGCCTGTGCCTTAAAGAACAACGGAAATGATAGCATTTTAAAAGGAGAATGGAGGATGAGTAAGACTAGATGTACTGTAGCTGCATTCCAGTGAAGGCCACGATGCCATAAATTGAGAGGCATTGCTTTTCAGTTCTTCCATTATGTTTTTATTTATACTGTCCCAGTGCGGTCACTAGGGAACAATTCTGCTATCACAGTGAGGGAAAGAAGAAAAATGATCGTGTGTTGTGCTGAAGACATACTGTGTACCTGGTGTCTCATTTCAGCTGTATGTAAACTGCCTTGTCAACATGGAGGAAAATGCATAGCTCCAAATGTGTGCAGATGTCGACTGCCGTACTCTGGTCTACAGTGTACAAAGAAAAGGAAGGAATGAGGCGACTTCAGCAAAGAAGAGCTGCATTTTCTTCATGTAACTGTACAGAGATGAAGTCTGCAGCAGTGGGGGACCTTAAAAAACTCATGGTAAATAGTTGATTTCAGGTAGCTTTTTGTATTCAGTATATTAAGTTAATGCTTTTCTGAATGAAAGAAAAGTATTGCTGATTGTAACAAAGCTGTTCTAAGTATCCGAGTGTGTGTGGTGTATGGCACATGTTTTCTTCTGTTCTCGTTTTTCTTTGTAAGCAGAAGTTTTAAGTCTTGGTTGAGAACAGCTGACCTTGAAATAAAATTTACTCTTCAAATAAAGTACTTCTGAATCGATCTATGCTCTTCTTCTTGATTTTTTTCCCTCTTTGACTAGAATTATTGCTTTATATTAGTGATGTATTTTTAAAAAGCACATGAAACAAAACATCCTTAATTCAGATAATCAGAAGTGGATGTTAGTTCAAGTATCATTTACCTTCGAGAAGATTACACAGTTGCAAGAGGAAACTTGGAGAGTTTGCATCTTTCTGGAACATCAGCAAACTGCAAAGCATCTTATTAAAATCCTGGTTATTGCTTTGTGTATGCTTCCTGCCTCTCCTCCCAATCAGATTTGGATCTTGATCTTTTAAGCAGTATTAAAAAAACCCCAGAACACAGTACTTGTTCAGAGAGGTCCACTGTTACTTCCTAAAAGCTTAATCCATGTCCTTATCTTGACTACTTTTACAGTCATATTATCTGATTATCTCTCGACTTCCAATTATTTCTTTTCCTTATCCCAGTAAGATAGGGAAATGTGTTTACCTCCCTTCTGGAGATGTAGACATTGATGATTCATTCCTATTCCAGATTGTGTTGCTGCAGGACCAATATAATGGGAGGCCACAGACTGACAGTGAGGAAAAGCTGTGTCTGTCTGTCCTGGTTTTGTCTGGGATAGAGCTAATTTTCTTCTTCGTAGCTACAATAGCACTGTGATTTAGTGTGGGATTTGGTATGAGAAGGATGTTGGTACAGACTGATGTTTTTAGCTGTTGCTAAGAAATCAAGGACTTTTCAGCTCATGTTTGGCTACTGTGGGATTAGCTAGAAGGAAAAGTGGGGCTTTTGCTCTTCTGGGATTGTGGTTTCGGGATCTCTCTCCTCCTCCAGGATCACTAGCCAGGAATGGGCTGGGCCTGGGTCGGTGGGTGATGAGCGTTGCATTGTGCATCACTATTTGATATCTTCTATAATAACTATACTTATAATTCTTATTTTATTTTAGTGTTATCATTATTATTTCATTTCACTTATTACATGGTTTTTATCTCAACCTTTGAGTCTCCTTACCCCAATTCTCTCCCCATTCCCTGGCGGGATGGGAGGGTGAGCCAGTAGCTGTGTGGTTTTTAGTGGCCTGCCAACACTGTCACAAATGACCTGTGTGGAGGATGCTGAGGCTTGTCTTCTGGGCATGTTCCAGTTTGGCCTCATTTATGTTTTGCAGCCTTTTAAATGGGCTGCAGATAGGACTGAGACTCCCGAGTTCATTGTTTCATGTCTCATCTGTGCTGTTTTTTGAAGGCTACAGTTGAGGAAGGTTTTGCCAAAACACACAAGTTGAATCAGTCCTGAATGATGCCCAAATCTACTTTTTTGAGAGACAGATGGATTTTCACTGTCTTTGAGGTGGAACTAGAATTTTTGGTGGAAGAATTTTAACTATGCATTAGTGTAAGCCATTTGCATATGCATTATTTTAAACTGTTTGATGGAATAACATTGTATCTGTGTATAAACTCCTTTACCAGAACATGCAGCTTTCGTAGGGAGAGTGATTTACATGGATATGTTTCTCCAGGGATTATAAACCACTGAGCATTGACAAGAAGCAAAGAAAATGGGGTCTTCTCAGTTACCAGCCTTCTCTAAAAGAGAGAACCCAAGCATACGGAGGGCAAATGAAAGACAATGGTATAGTTTGCGAGTCTCCTGTTTTCCGTTACGAGCAGCTGTTGCATTGTGTTGTTGACAAGACTTCCTCTGCCCTTGCTTTGGAGGCTGTTGCCTTTGGTTCATATGAAAGCTTCTATGGACATGTGGTTTTTTTGCCAGGGGCAGGGAACAGAGTAAGAGGAGTGTGTGGTTTTTGTGCTGCTTTAAAGCTGTGATAGACTGGGTATTTCAGATGTGCTGGTGAAAAATGTGGTTTTAATGCGTGGAACAAGATGATTTCATCAATGGTTCTTGAGTAGGCTTTATGGTGATGAAATCCTGTGTCGGTGTCACAGTTCATTACGATAATCGTGCCATAATTTACAGATTCAGGAGCTGAGTTGACTACCTTAGGTGACATACTGGTTGCAGGGAACTGAATGAAAAAAATTAATTGCCTCAGACCCAAGATTTCAGAGTAAATGAGCAGGAGTATTTAAATGCAAAGAGGCATGATATCACAGTATTGTTCCTGAAAAGACCGACTTCTACTAATAAAGCCAAAAATGACAATAATGGTGATTAGAAGCCAAAAGAGATATTAGCATCGTTAGGAGCATGAAATCAGGAGCAGTCAGTGCGAGACCCGTAATTGGTGTTTCTGAAAAGGCCAGAACAAATGCTAATTTAAGTAGTTCCCTGCTTACAAATGATTGAAGTAAGTAAGCAGTAACTTGGTGGCATGCAGGATGTGATGGCATATTTTAGAAATGCTGCTTGAATGTAGCACCATCTACTGGATACCGGTTTTTTCGGTTCTGTTTTTAAGAACAATCATTTACATCTCCACAATATTCTAAGTGAGTTTAAAAGTAAATTTTCTTGCAGTTATTGTAAAATAGAAGAGTTCTCAGAATGTGTTATTAATGACAGTCCAGGTCCCCAAGTTATTATTTCCACAGTTCCACATAAATTTACTAAAAGAGCTGTCAGTATTCCTTGTCCTTTGTTTGTTTCCCACTCCCTGGAGGATTGAAGGTACTAGTCACGGCATGTGATTTTTTGTAGCTAGATGTATCTTCCTGTGAAAAGCTAGTTACGAATGCAGCCAAAGGTCAGGGCTACTTCCCTTACTTATTAGAGCTAACTGTAACACCTCATGCAGATGCTCTGATCGTCATTAAAAACAACTGCAAAATTGTAGTGATAGTGCACTGGTTGCATTCTTGATATTCTATCTTTGTAGGGCGTGTGTGGAAAGGTGAGAAGTGTTTCTGCTTTTTAAGTTACTTACATGTCCATTTTATCATTTATATTTTCTCTTCTACTGTAAGTGGTTGTAGCAAGAATGGAGTACATGGTTTATCTATAAAGTAACCCTTTACTGGCTAAACTGAGCAGTGCATGGAAGTTGAGTAAAATGACCCAACGTTGCCATGTGATACCTTTATGCAAGAGAAACATCATAAACATCTTTAATTATTAGTAACACTTTCCAGCCTCTGTGTTTGGTTTTTGTATATGCACCCAGGTGCTATGTTTTATTGAGAATTTAAACTTCAGATTTTTCCTATTTAGGCAAGTAGATACAGCAAATTTGTCAAGTAGCTGAAGCTTTTATTCTAATTTACTTTAGGGTTTGTGCCAATTCTTCCTCATGGTTCTGCTTTTGGTAGATGGAATTGTAAATTCACTTTCTGTTCTCAACTATGAAGATATAATATTAACTTCTGTAAAAACAACGAGCCTTTCACATGGGGCCCCCCTTTTTTTTTTTTTTTTTAATCACAGCCAGCATGGATAGAAATACAGGAAACTGAGTCCCTGCTAAGATCTGTGGTATCTTCTGTGATATGAGTCTTTCCTTCAGAAAACATTAATTATACTGCATTTTAAAGATCTTTTAAAGATTGTGGGCAAAAGTCAGCCTGCACTTTGGAGAATTTCTGCTGGCCTGCCCAGCAACTTCAGTGCAATCAGATAACAAATGGATGATGTACATAGGTACCTTCCAGCACTGTTTAGTATTTAAAGAAATCGTGCAAAAAAATTCAGTGAAGGTACCTGTATTCTGTCTGATGTGCCAAGAATCACTGCAAGTTCTTCAGTCTGGCACAAGCTGCCCTTTTCTCCATCAGGCCAGAACCGTGGCAATTCCTGCAGTACACAACCCTTCTCCCCGCTTTCCAAATCCCCAAACCCTTTTGGGCCTAATTTCAGATTGCATTATGCAATTTTAGAACAATTTTGTTAACCTGTGTACACAAGCCCTCTATATGCTTCTGCCTCTTGTTAAACTGAGCCATTTTACTGCATTGTTGCAACGTGCTTTCTAGTTACAGTGAATTCGGTTTCACATGTATGAGGGACAGTCTAGTAACAAAATAGTTTAAACTAATCACATAATTACTGGGCAGTTTTGAAGTAACTGTCTTTATGCATGTACTAGTATTTTTTCTGCTTCACTTGCTTTCTGGAAGAGAGCACAGCTTGCATTTGGAAAATGTAAAATAAATAATTTCTGCCTTCAGAAACAATGAAAATAAATGGGAAATACTAAAAGTTATTATTAAAAAAACCTTTTTATTCTTGCTGAAATCCTAGAAAATCGTGCATATATATATATATATATATATTCAGGTTTGTAAATGGAAGATTATACAAACTCATTAACCAGAATAGTTTTAACAGTGTTCCTGGCAGATGTTATCTCTCTTTAGCACAACACCTGTGTAACTGATATGTGGAACAGAGTTATTAGAATATTAGATTACATGATATTGATGTGTTTGCATTTTCAAAAAATTTTAAGAGCTTTGTGTATTCAAAGCATCATCCTGAGGCATCAGTTCTAATAGCTAGTCTGCTTTTGTTCAGAGAGATCTTTGTGAGATGTGAGAAAAGAAACAGTTCAAGTGGAGCAGGTTTTAAATAATAGAACAGTTCTCAGCCGATTAGGCTTTCAGCCACTTGGATGCACAATTAAAAGAAACGATGGAAACACGGAAACTTAAAATGCAAGTGGGAAATTGAAAACATTTTAAAAATATAGCAGTCAGGCACTTGGAAATCCATCAGGTATGGTGCTGGAACGATGCTGAAGGTGCTGGAACGATGCTGAACTCTCAGAATGACAGTTTATTTTGCAAAGTGACTTAAGAGGACTATCAAAAGGTGAGGAGAACTCTAGGAACAGAGCTGCTAACAGCTATGATTTGTCAGTCAGAATCCCACAGTGGAAGTAAACACGAAAATAAGCTCCATTTTCCTCCCATTCAGAATTAGTGTATGTAAATCTAATATTGCTCAGGAGAACAAGAACTCATTATGTTTATTTTTGGTTTAAAAAAACCAAAACAAAACTAAGCTTCAGTGGCTTAGCCAAAGGGATGTTT